GAGTGTCCCACAAGAGTGACCCACAAGAGTGTCCCACAAGAGTGTCCTACAAGAGTGTCATTTGGACATATGTAGCTTTTCGAACGTGTTTGCATTTCGGGTTCGTGGGCTCCATCTTGTTTTTTCGATGGGTTATTTTCTGCAAATAAGATCAGAGACATCTAATTGGGGGGGATGTGGTAGATAAAGCACATTGAAGCACAGCCTGTCACTTCCGACTTCGGCCTGTAAAAGGTGAATACCCTCCCTGCAACAATCATGGAAGTGGACAACCCCCTCTTGGTAGAGGAAAGTAGTCTTCCCAAGGGACCACTGTCCACTTCCATGATTCTTTCAGGGAGTGTAGAATGTTTGTTCTTTGGCAGATTTACTGCTCGGCTCATATCGCATTCCTGGCCAAAGTCGTCCAGTCGCCCTATCAGAAAAACATGGTCTCAAGCCTTTCATCCTGTGCCGATCCTGCCTTCCTTGAATCTTGTAGAAGGTCCAGTGCTGGTCATCAGCATTCCAAACCTCAGGCCATGGGAAGGCGGCGAGCGCGGTGGGCGGCCATGCTTGGCCTCCAGCAGCAGCAACAGCACATCAACAGGACCAGCTGCCCAGGCGTGCTGATCATCTAAGGTTTGTAGATCAAAGCCAAATCAAAATTAGTATCTTTTGCTGTTTTTGTTGGCCCCTGGCGATCGCGATAGTCGCATAGTCCTGCTGTTCAAGAATAGGTCTTACGTCAGAAATCGGTCGCGCAGCTTTCTACGGCCACAACAATGCACCCCCATCGAAGCCTGTTTCTTTTCCCTCGTCTCCAGTGCTTGTGAATGTCGCATGGACCTTCGATACTCGTTCTGTGTGCTCTCAGTGCAGCGCATCTCCGCGAATGCTGTTGTCATCAATGCATTGGCTCCTGCGGCTCAACAGATCTCCAGTCGGTCACTGGACTTCCAGCACTGAAATATTGGGTCGAGTTCTTACTTCACCCTTCACAACGAGCTCTTGAAACCGGAAAACCACATGGCAGTGAGCAAGATCGCGCCTCAAGAAGCATCCTCGAGTCTCATGCCAAATGATATGGTTGCACATCCTTGGAACACCGTGACAGGTCACGCATGTCTTGAACCCATGCTTTCACTGCGTTCTTTGGCTTTGGTTTTGGCCGACTTTTGATACCAGTACCAACATTCTTCATTCGAGACCGGCCCGCTTAGAGGCACCACATGCACCTGACTCCAACCTCCTTGCTGCCGCCTGCAGCCTTCCTTCCGAGGGTCGGTTCCGCTGCGCAGCGTTCCTTGCAGAAGGTGACTGAGCCTTGGCAGGTCTGAGAAAAGGAAGAACACACCAGGTCACCTGTGGGTCCATGGTCCATGGAACATCGGACCATGGACCTGCCACTCTCAAGTCCAGCCAAGGAGCGATGTCCAGGGTAGGCACCCACTTGAATTCCTTGGAATTCCACGCGCCCGCGAAAGGGCTTGAAGCCATCCGTGGAGGGCTCGCGGCTCACCACGGGTGCATAGAGATCCGTGTCCGAAGTCCTGGGCCAAACCCAAAGTGAGGACTTGGAGATGAGGGAGGGTGTTCATATTGAACATGTACATTGAGATTCCCATTTATCCAAAATGGTTTGGTAAGCAGTCTTCATGTCCAACAGGTCCATCACCCAGTTTATAACAGAATTAATATTTCCAAAGCTGCATTTATTCAACCTCATACAATCCGAAACACTGACAATCCGTGACACTGGTCATCTGCTTTTTCCTTCGACCATTGCTGGGGAAAAAGAATCGATTTGGAATCTCGTCCACTCTTTCCATGTCTTTTCTGTGTTGTGACAAAAAGAATCTCTGCAGGAGTGGCAGGCGTGACTTAGCCCAAGGATCAGAGAGTCATCGGAAAGTTCCGTCTTTGTCTAAGCTGTTGGATTCACAAAGGCCCGTTGACTTCCAGTCGCCTTTGTTCCAAAGGGACATTGACTTTCATCCCGCTGGCTCATTGGAAGCCAACAATCCCTTTGTTTGTCTTTCTTCCCTTTGTTCCAATGGGATGTCCTACGATTTCAGTGTTTCATCCCTCGATCCTCGATCCTCGTTGTTCTTGAACACACCGACTGGGGGCCCCAGGCCCGGACTGGACTCTCTTGGGCCTCGTCGTCCACACCCTTGACACTCCACGCGACGACACCACGCCACGCATGCCGTGACAAGCGACGTGAGTTGGTGGTCTTGCCGCTCGGAATGCTTCTTGCAATACTGGCCAAGCCGAGAGGCGAAGAGGCGCTACTAGTAACAAGTGCCACGCTAGTAGCAACAAGTGCCTTACTAGTAGAAACAAGAAGCTATTAGAAACAAGTGCCACGCTACTAGGAACAAGGCGAGCCGAGACCGACGCGGAGCAGTCGGTCTCCAACGGCCGAAGAGGCGAAGCAGTCGGCGAGGAACCGAACGTGGAGGTTATGAGTGCCGCTCTCCAAGATGGAGGTTATGAGGTGGTGAGTCAGACATGGGTGATCAAAGTACGAGATATTCATCAGATTGACTGTCTTTCGAACTTGAAAGAGGATAAAATCCTTTTGATGCCCCAATCGCTCCTTGTTGATTGTGTCATAGGATACGGCAAAGCAGTCCTGCACCGGAACGGCTTTGCTTGTAAAGAGGCCGATCCAAACGCAGGAAAAACTGAAGTTGCCTGCAAAATTGAAGCCACTTTGGCAAACCTGCAGGACAGTTCAAACAACTACAAAGCGCTCAAACATCAATATCACTTCCAACATATGTTCAAAGGCCCTTCAAGGATTCACTTGTCTACCTGCCCAGGGGCAAGTTTCCTTGTTTGCTGGTATATTTAGGATTGCTGCTTCTTTGCAAAAGGCTGTGAAGGCAAAACGATCGAGCACTTCCCTTGAGCCGCGACTGGCCATGCGAGAAAATGATCCCAGACGCCCCAAAACATGGCCCTAGGCCACAGTTCGCGCCATTCGACGTTGGACTTGTCATTTGGATACCAAGCCAATCAGGACATCTGGACATCTGGTGATGAAACTGCGCTCGCTGTTCCGAAAAAAACACGTGTCCAATCTCCTGGTCATGGCAGCATCTCTGCTGGCATTCCTCCCAGGTGTCCTCAGTCAAGCTAGCATCGCAAACCACGAGAAATGCACTCACTCCTCTCTCCAAGGGTTCCTTGACAAATTTTGAAGGGAAGCCAATAACCGAACGTGGAAGACAGTCACATCACAGGTGGCAGAAACAGGCTCAAGTCGCACCCAGTGGTACTGTACTGAGTTGTGTTTCCAACGCTAGGACTGGGATTGATCCGTGTCTGGTAAAAAAGAACATCAGCATTTTGGATATGTTGGGTTCGACCCTCCAACAGCTTTTCCCCCCCCAAACCACCAACTGTTGGGGGGCACATCAGGGACCGATCCTTTTTTCGCGCCAGGTGGACATCTCCAACATCGAGACATTGGAGACCATCCAAGTGGTCGAAAGATTGGGAGGATCGAAGCAAAGCAAGGGGTTGATTGGAAGATCATCCTATTGGGAGTCCGATGATGCCATGAAAAAGGGTGCGGCCAGTGGAATCAAATCGATCAAGTACCTACACTGGATCTTTCTATCTTGAGAAAAATACCCCATATATCTCTCTATGGTTCTAGATATCAGCGTAGGTGTTGATCTATACCCTATCTTGATCTATACCCTCTACTGGGGCATTGATCTATACCCTAAACCCTATATATCTTCCCCTTCCGCCAGGCTGCATAGATCTGCCACGCATCGAAAATGTTGTTGGTGGAGCCGCCTGGATCGAGGGGGTCAACATCAAATCTTGAGGGGTCCAAGTCTGTCACTCCACTGACCACTCCACACTGGATCGGGTGTGCCATCAAGTATGAACCCAGAAAGCACCGAACCCAGAAACACGCAGCGTCTCTCCTCTCTAAGCGTCTCTTTTCTCCGTGTGAAAGCGTCGTGAAATGATCTGAAGGGAATCCTGGATGTTCAGACCTGTCACCCGAAGAGGTCGCGGAGAACCCAGCGGTTTCGGAAAAACGGGTGACGGAGCGGTTGGTCCAAACAGGAGTGGTCCAAGCGGTCCACCACGGACCTGAACTGCGAAGCCACAAAAAGGTCAGGTCCAGGTGGCTTTGTTGCCGCCTACACCGCCTACACTCCCTATAAATGGACATCTGAAATCATCATCCACTTCCATGAATGATCATCAGGCAGTGTAATTCAAACACTCTTCGGTGCACCCTTTCACAGCCACCCCAACCACCGGTCGCGTCGCCCCGTAGCCAGCCTTGCACCGTTGCGCCAAAGTCGCAACCGAAGGCTTCGGAGCAGTTCCTCGGATGCGCGGGGCCGACGACGACGCGACACGGGGGGGCCGACCGAGGCTTCAGCAGTCGCGGGTTGTTCGATGGTTCAATCCTTCCCAACTCCATCCTCAAGAGCCCAAGGTTCCTCTGAAACAATCTGAAACACCCACCACTCCCCAGAGGCCCAAGGTTCCTAGCCACCGCCCACTTCTGGCGCCCCAAAACACCTGGCCCAAGTCTCGGGGAATCGAAAGCTCCCACTTCACAAGGAAAGGGAATCGGCTCCACCTGCGCCACGCGGTCGCAGCACCGATGCCCCAGTTGGGCCAAAACAGATCCAGAAAGGTTCTTTTCTTCGGTCCGAACGCAGGACGGGAAGCCTCCATCTGGCAGGAGCATGCAGCTGGCGTTCATCATAAGGTTCTTGGACCAGGGAATCCGAATCCTCCCCTCAATGGGTCACTCCTCCCAACGTCCGGTCCGGTCGCCAGGGTGGAGCAGCGGGACCGACCGCCGCGCGGTTCGGTGGCGCCTCTTCTGTGTCGTTCATGCTGGTGTTGCTCATGTTACCCTCAAAGCTGGTGCGAGGGCTGTGCAAGGCCTTAGAGCGGTGAAGAGGTCAGCAGTGAGAAGTCTCATACGACCACGAAGCAGTGGCACCATGCATAGGGATGCCAAGCGGCAGCAGTGCAAAGCAGTGCAGTGTGTGTGTGTGTGTGTCTGCGTGTGTCGCTTCAATTCCAAGAGAAGAGTAACAACACGAAGAATGACTTCTTTGAAAGGATTCCTAGGAGGGAATAGCAGTGACCTGTCTCAAAACACTTTTTGCAAACAGCGCCTAAGCCGCCTTCACCCTTCGTTTGAAGGAATTCCAGATTCTGCAAACCTTACACGGGTCCGGCCACGTGGTCCAATCACGCACGGAAACGACCGGAGCAACGCGAAAACAGGCTCCGCTCGACCGGCCCGACAGCCGAGCAACGCTCACTCCGGTCACACTGACCTGTGCCGAGGCTTCCAAGGCTGGAACCTGACACGCGAAACGAAACCGCCGGGAAGGGTGGTGACCGGGTGGTTGCTGGGTGGTTATCGGGTGGGAGTGGGGCTTCCCATTCCAGGCTCCCGATCTTGATCAATCTTGGGAGTTTCACAAGCAAGTCCTGAACACATATATAGTTAGTTAGTGTAGTTGAGTTGACGCAAGTCGGCAAGTAGGCAACTGATCCATCAGGCCGGCCAAGTGGGCCTTGCCTCGAAGTGGGACGCTGACAACGGCCACAGCCACAGGTCATTGGGATTGCCATTGGAGACGACTCTGATCTGCGCAGATGGGCACAGATGGGCACAGGACACTCATGGGTCACTCATGAGTCACTCATGCCATGTGGTCACGTCACACAAAACATCCACAAAACAATGCAATGCCTCAGTTATACCCTTCAAAGAATTTCAAAGACACCTCAAGATGCAGTTTATACCCCATGGACCCCATGGACCCCTTGAACCCAATGGATTTCATGGACAAAGCGATACCTCAAATAAGCTTGCATTGGAGCAAGGAAGAGACATACCGAGTGTGCCCCACTTGGCACGTGACAAAGTCAAACATGTAGCATGCCCGCGAACTGCAAAAGGACATGTCATACACTTTCAACTCATCATAATACCTGAACATCAAACATCTTAGGCAGGGCCATCAACATCCTGAGCTTGTGCTGCAAGGTACAAGTTGGCGTTTGTCTCCACAGTGCACAAGCAACACCCACTCTGCCTCAACCACACTGCGCATCAAGTCATACTCAATGATCGGGGGAGGCAAGTTTCCCCCCCGGGCGCCACATCTGCACTAGGTATTCGGTCACCGTCTCGCCGTTGGCATTGCCTCACTGCGTTCAGCAGTTTCGAAACAAACTCCAACAAATGTAGAGAAAGTGCCGGAGACGTTTGCCCGCGTGTACCCCAAAACTACTGTGAAATCATGAACTCAACTGCCATGCTTAGCTCTAGATATATATATATATATAGAGATAGATATAGATATAGACATAGTCAACTATACTTGCAGTTTGACTACTCGAGCTGCTTGAAGTGTCTTTCTTTGTCAGAGTTTCACAACAGAACACGCTTTTGAAGCCTTCTCCAAAGCCCCCGCACATTCTTGGTCCATTTCTGTCCTGTGTAGTCAGGCACATGCTGCGGAGTCCACAGCGGTGCGGTCTTCGCCACGCCGTGGCCGTGGCCGTGGCGTTTGCGTTCGCCCGCGCTGAAGATCGTCGCTGGCCCAAGGAGCTGTAGGAGTCCATCCACCAGGCTTCGGCAGCGACTTTGGTGCCGCTGGGCATCGTCATCTCGTTCAAGGCTTCCATGATCTGACGGCGTTGCACGGGAGCTCCACCAAAAAAAAGCTGGGCGAGACGCGCACGGTGCAACATGGGAAACGGATGAAACGGTTCCAGAAAGACCAACAATCCACGGTAGCTGTTGATGGTCTGAACACTGGTCCCGGATTTGCCTGGCAGGGAGGAGCATCCTCTAGAATTGCCATGTTCCTGCTCTAGTCAGTCTGCGCAGGTCTCATTTTTCATGATCGATACTTTTGTCTCTAAAGGACTCTACAAAGAAAACCGCAAAAGAAAAAAAACACCGCGCCCATGAATGCCAAGCGACATGCCAGTCGTTGAAATTCCACCAAATCCAGTTGCTGAATGTTGGCTCATCTCCAAAGTTCTCACGCAAGCCGATTCGCCACTGGCCATCTTCTTTCGAGATGATCTTCTTGAAGAGGAGCATCCTTAGAAAGGGAGTGGAGCTTGCCCTCTAAACTTGTCGGCACATGTCGGCACAACGTCAAACTGTCTCTTGTAGCCAGCCAGCCAGCCAGCCAGCCAGCCAGCCACTCAAACAGGCAAGCCAGCAAACGAGAAAAAGAGTCTAAGTTGGTTGGCAGGGAAGCAAGATATGAGACACAAAGACATGGCACACAGGTCATACTAGATCGATTCATTTGCTGCTACAGATTGCCTGGAGGGTTCCACTCCCACCCACCGGAAAGCCGAGAATCTCGGGCCAACTCTTCCTTTGACTCAGAAGTTCCTGCACGTTGCAGCGACAGTTCCGCTGGGCTGCCTCCCTTAGACATGCAAAACCATACCAAGCACGTGTGTCAAAATCCACTACCAAACCCAGATGTGGCCAAGAATCCATCCCCATGGAGAGGATTGAAGGCGAGTGTGAACCACTCACCAACCCCACCAAACCCTGTGTCCAGCAAAAAGGGCACTTCTCTCCTGGTGAGCCCACTCTCAGTCTCTTCGCACCCCTACCATCCCCCATCCCTACCCCCTCTCCCTACCATCTTCGGCTCGCCCAGCTCACCCCCCCAGCCTTCTCCGCGGCGGACTTCTCCGAGAGGTCCGGCCGCTGGATGCGAAGGCCCGTGAACTGTCGCGCTCGACCTGCGGCCGTCGACCCACCGTCTCGGCCGTCTCAGGCAGCCGGGGTGGGCGTGAGTCAGTTCCGTGGTGGTCCGGTGTGGTCATTGGTGGCCCGTGGAGCTGCATGGCACGGACGTTCATGAGGACGTGAGCTGGGTGGCAAGGGCTTTGGAGAGCTGTGCTGGCTTGGCAAAAAGTGAGTTGCTGAGTCTTTTGGGCAGGGTGGGTTGTGGTCGGGTCGGGTGGCAGGGCGCTTCTCCGGATGACCCGAGACGGCGCTGCTTCGGGCCATTGCCTTTGGAAGGCGGTTCGTCCTCATCCTTCGCAAAGCTTAGTGATTTGCGAGACGGCACTGGTGATTTGCGAGACAGCAAACCCAAAACTGCCACACTTTGCCGCCAAGCAGCGCCGGCGGCGCGAACTGTGCCCTGGGCGAGCATCCTCCGCCAACATGGCGCGCTTGAGGAAAAATCGACGCTCACCTGGCGGCCGGGGCAAGAACAAGTTGGATAGTGACTCAACCATTGATGGGGATTTCTCCTTCAGGATCTTGAATGTGTGGTTGCACCGAAACTTTGGAAGCGAATATATATATAATCTATTTTGCCCTACAAGGTACCAATCACACACAGGATTGAGCATCTGACAACTGCTATCTTTCTTGACTTCTGAGTTGCTTCCCGGCGGCCAACTTTCACCCACTGGACCCACTGGACCTGAAGTGAACTTTCCGGGCTTGCCGGGCTTGCCACTGAAATTGCTTCACAAAGAGTTCCGATGTGCCAAAAAAATGGCAGCTCCGCAAGAGATCCAGCCAACTTTGGTTTCAAGGGCAGGGTACCTTGCTGAAAGGCATCCTTTTCTGTGCCTTGCAATCCTCTACCAACCTCCAGTCTGAACTTGGTCCTGCTCGATGAGCTACAAAAATCCTTATGTGCCATTATGTGCTCAAAAAAATGTGGACACGGAGACTCTACCTTCAACTTCCCAATAAAGTCTCGACGTGATGTTCCGCAGAGAATCAAATGCCCTCTTTGCGCATGACAAGCTCTCCTTCCACATCCCAACCGGATGCCTTTGGTGAGGTACAAGGTGTGCTCAGTGGGTGTACGGTACCCAAGATCCTCGCCCGAGAAGTCAAAACTCCTGTCCCAGGGCCGCACGGTTGCTTCTACAATTCGGCTCAAAGAACATAATTTTAATCATTTGGCATCCTTTGGCTGATGAATCATTGGATCCCTTGGGTTCCTTTAGGTCATGGATGCACAAAATGAACCAAACCCTGCAGGCAGTGGGGGTAACATCCCTCTAAGCCTCCAAGAAGCATTGTACCTGTCTTCTTTTTGTCTCATCCATGGCCACTCTCAAAGGCTCTTCAATTCAAAGGTGTGCCAGGGTTCATCCACCCACCCTTCCGATTCCAGCGCAGTGCTCTCCTTGTAAGGTTGGTCCCTTGATGGGCCTGGCAACGAAGGCATGACGCCTTTGCACGAGAAGTCCGGGCCCTGAAGACGTTGATCCATGACCAATTGCATCCAAGTTGAGCCTTTCCTTCACCACCTTCACCGCCTTCACCACCTTCACCTTCAGCAATATCTCCCAAGCCCTTTCCCCTTCAACGAAAAGACCTTTTTCAACATGAAGTCGGATCAAGTCTGATCTGTTTGGGGCAGCAAAGCGAAAACCTCTACATGATGGATTTATCCAACCTCATGTCGCAAATCTGTAGATGGTGGCCAAACCTTCTTTCTCCCGAACCTTCTCTCTCTACCCCACACCATGGAGGAGGTCTGCTGGACGTGTATATAAAACTCTCGTCCTAGGCATCCAGCCACACACCAAGTCGGAGTCCAAGCCCCCGCCTCTTGGTTGATGTTGTGATATCTGGTGTCACTTCGGTAGTTGTAGAGACTCGGCGATGCGTTCGGCTCGGCAATGCGTTCGGCTCGGGCGAAAGGGTTGGTCACACTGCGAACGGTTGACATGGAGCTGATGGAGGTGGATGGCTCGAGCAGAGCCAATGATGAGTCGATTTGGGATCGTGCGGCTCGGGTCATCAAGCTGAAAACATATGCTGGATCCTGCGGGTTTTGAAGGAGGCTGACCCACCATTGTTCGAACGAACAGAATGGACTACAGAGACGTCGACCTGCTGCGGTATTGGGTTGCTGGCTTTGACCCAAACCCATTTGTCGCTGTGGACCTAGAGTGACCAGTGCGACTGCAGTTCGGCGCCCAGGTGCATGCTGCATCCAGCATAGCTAGCTCGTCGGCGGTTGCTGCTGCTCCTCAATGAGATCATTCATGGCCGAGTTGCAGCACTGCATATGAGGGAACCAAAATAACCTCTTAGAGAGAGGACGACAAGTTCGGATGCACAATGATACGGAAAATGTCTCATCACCGTGAATGTTGTCCCTTCTCCATGGCCACGTGACAAGAACCACAAGGCCCTGCAAACCTTGAGCTCGTCCGCCCAAGCATGGAAGCTTGACGATGTCCAGACCCCGCAATGACCCGGAAGACGCCGTGGTTGCCTGACCACCGCGCCTGCAAGGCGAATAGTCGAGCTTCCTGGCCACCTGACCCGGACCGGCGGGTTGGACCGGGCGAAGTTCCGAATGAAGCACTTTGGCGTCCGCTGGGGGCGGTCAACTTGAGGGAGGGTGAGGTAGTTTTCCACTGGTCACCATCCATTTGGAGGTGCCAAATGAAAGCAGCGACTCAGGGACTCAAGTGTTTCAAAGGGTCTCTCTTGAGAGTTTGTTCCTGATGCTGAGAATAGAGCTATGAACAAAAGGACTGAGAAGGAACTGGCAAAACACGTTCAGGTGCTCTTCGTATAGCTCCACCGGCTCCCTTGAAGAGCTGGAATACCCCCCAGCCAGTGAGCTTCCTCACCCAAAACAGCCACATCCTCACTGATCAGGCCTTGATCAAATCAGCAGGATCTGATGACTGGCTGAGCCATACATCCTGTGGGGGCACAAAACTGCCCCAAACGACCCACCCAAGGAGCGAAAACGCCCAAAGCAGTTCCAGATTCGAACACGAGTGGGTTTGAGCGATAAAAAAGAATCCAATCCTGTTCCTCCCTGGAGGGGAAGTTCCTTGGCCCGAGAATGGTCCACTGGACTTGTGTTTGACCCTGAAGTCGGAAGAACATGTGCAGAAATGCCGTCTGCAAATAAACCAAGCAACTCTGGTAGAATTCCAGCAACACAGAGAATATCACAGTGAATCATGTCGCAGTCAATCAAGCAGCTGGTGATTCTTCCACCATGAACTCCATGTCTGATCTTGTTTCAAGCTGGTGCCAGCATGCAAAATGAAAAGTCTAAAGTCAATTGGTCGTCCTTTATGTCCTCACGTGTAAAATGACAGCCTAGATGTCCTCGAATTGACTGCCAGAAATAAACAGAAAAATATCCGCCGAATTTATGTTGATAAAATCAAACTGAAATGCATAAATCTGGTGGCTTATGAGTTTAATCTGCCATGTTCATTCATGTGTCTTTTTGCCAAGTGCGTTCTTTGCTGGTTAAAATCCCATAAGCCATATACAATTGAACTACCCACAATCTGTTCATTAGATCTGGCATGCTTCTTTCTCAAGTGTCTCGGCAGGTCATCCATGGTATTTCTTTCCAGTTGGCTTCTTCTCCATTGAAAGTGAATAAGGTGTAAAAAGAAAAGGCCAATAAGGAGAATAGACTAACCCTAGACTTCCAAGACCATTAAGAAAATGGTTGACCTGTTTTTTGTAATGTGAAATCCTTAGTTGATTTGTTAAAGCCTATTAAATTAATGGTTGTTGGAAGCCTAGGGCTAATATGGCTTGCTGGTCAATTTCATGAAATAAAAGCCACAGATTAAAGTGCCTTCATGTCCAATCTCAAAATTAACACTGTAGATAAAATTAAGGCACAATCATTTTTTGAAACCAATAAAATTTAATATCTATTAATTAGCGATGATTATGGGGTATGATCAAGTAATTCGTGAATGGCAAAGCACACACACACAATGTTGTGCCCGGGCGTCCAGTCTTGTGAGCGACCTCTGTCTGCCGATTGGCTTCTTAGAAAGTCAGGTTTTCAGTGAGTGCGGTCACACATCTTCCTAAATGCTGAGTCAACAAGAATGTGTATTCCATGTGATTTCAAATTCCTTCTGAATCTCTTATGGCATCTTGAAGAACTCAGACCGATCAAAAGGCCTCCTCTATGGATGGTCGGTCGTCACCGGGGGGGGACGATGACGAAAGGGTGCCCCCGCATCACCTGGTCGCCAACGCCAAGTCCGTCCGACGCACGAGCGCTACAACTCACGCGCTTTCGCGCAGACCTGCTCCATGTCTCCCCAGGTGAGGAAGGAGTAGTAACCAGAGACCGGAGCCACGAAGAAAGCCATGATCTCTTCCACAATGCCTCGGAGTCGACGTCGCGAGGAAGGCCTGGCCTGGCCTGAAGGCCTGGAAGCAGATCCTGGTGATTGTTGACGTGCCACGGAGATTTGACCAATTCGAACGAGATGGACGTGCTTGCTGTGAAACGCACCGTGAAACGCAGCGTTTCAGGCACTTCCGTCCCCAACTGAGCCGCCACGCCATGGTTGCCAGAGGCTTCAGCCATATTGGCGTAGGGCCCCTCACCATGTCGAGCTGTTGACATTTGTCTGCAAAAACAAACCCACACTCCCGGACTCAAAAGGGATGCGTTTCCCTGTACACCCCGCACAAAAGCCGGGCCCGTGCGGCCCGCCACCGCCACAGCCGTGCCTCGCGCCCCGCCACAGCCGCCCCGCCTCGCGGTCATAGGCCTCCAGGTCCATGGGATCGGAGAAAGCCACATCTTCAAAGCCTGAAGACAACGGTTTGGAACGCGGCCCGAGAAGAGAACACCAGACCTCAAGGCCCGGACCCTGACCCCCAACCCGGACCTCCACAAACCTCCAAGGAGGCCGGGCAGAAGCAAAATGACCCCAGCCCATTTCCTCCTCTAGTTGGGCAAAGCAAAAAGGGTTGGTTCCTAAGCTCCAGCGCTCCAGCTCCGACGCGGGGGCTATTGATTTGCACTGGCATTCGTGGAGGCAGCGAGTTTGACCGAGACCGAGTCATCTCGTATTCACACGAAGTGGCTGGCTACAGGCAAAGGCAGCAAGCAAGGCAAGTTGCAACCTGTTTTCGCATGCTAAAGTCTGCCTCGGTTCTTGTGCCAGACCTGGCCTAAAGTAAACCACCTACCTACTATTCCATGTCCAATGATTTTTCATCAGTTCCAACCCCGGAGCGCCATGGCGCTTCGAAAGCACCGGACCTGACTCTTGGACCCTTCACCGGAGGCGAAAGCAGAAGGAGCTCAATCACCCGCGCTGAAGAAGCTTCTTCAGGCGCTGAACATTCTCGGAACGCCAAGCAAGTCTGAGATGTGCCCCAAGACCCCAAGAGCTTTGTCTCCACAGGTTGAAAGAACAACGAGATCCGTCCAGCTTGATGTTCCTACATAGCAAAGCCCATGGTATGTCCCAGGTGGACACCCCTCTCAATGTCAGTCTACGAGCCCGAGCAAAAAGTTCCTGCAAATCCCCCTTTTATCGGGAAAATATAAGAGTCACCGCCACTCCCTGAAAAAATGGAAAAATCAACAACAACACATCTCCAATTCTCTCTCAAACATGAAAAACCACCGGTCGACCGTCGACCTGGAAAAAAAAAGACACTCGCTCCATCGAGGGACGTCGCTCCCTCGCTCCCACACAGTAGCTCGCGTGTCGTTTGCCCGAGGAGCCGAAAGCACCACGAAGGACGTCACTTCGGACCACTTCCATCATGGGGCGTCTGAGAGACGGATCGTGAGCAGCTCGGTGGACGGATGGGATTTTTTGAGATGTTTTCGAGGTGAGAAGGTGGGGTCTCGCAGGGAATCACGCCGATTTTCCAACTGTCAGGCCAAACCATGCCCATGCTTGGAACCATGCTTGTCATTGATGCATTCTACCCTTATTCGAGTACCTGCACCTGTTGATGGAGGACATCTTGCGCGGTCACGTACAGAGGCTCAACTGGCTCAACTCTTTGTAGTGCTTGCACGCGCGAGGTGCTGCAGCGTTTCTGGAGCATCAAGAGCTGTTGCTTTTTTGCCACATCTTTCGTGGGATCAGTTCATCGACGATGATCCATGTGCTGAAGATGGCGTACCATCGTTTCGCAAACCATCGAAGCTCCCGGAAAGACCCGCACGAACTCGGACCCCGATGGAGGATGGTCGATGGTCGATGCCCCCCCGCGAGTGAAGTCGTCGGAGCCCCGTGAAGAAGGTCCGAAGGCGCGGAGGCCGCGACCAAACGGAGGTGACATCGGCGGTGAAATGGTTTTTTGCAAGGAAAAACGAGCAGTCTGGTTTCAGGGATGCGAGCAAAACGAGGGAAGAGAGGAGCAACTGGATGGAAAACCAACTGGTGAGTCTGGCCCATGTTTACAATCTTCAAAATGCAAGCCCCTGGGAGTCCAAGACGATGTTTTAAAGATGGGCTTTAGGTGATCCGAGTTCAGATTCCTTCCAGGGCACACCACTTCAGGGCACACCGTGCTGAGCCAGGGCACTGGGCTCGGTATTCAGGATTCATGGACGCTTGCAGAGCCCCACGGCCGGCAAACCTCAGTATTTTTCGTTAGCTAGCTGTGAAGATTTTTTCTCCTGTCTTCAGCCAATGTTCAAGCTGGCAAATGCACAAAACAAAAGAGAGCATGACCTCTGACATTCTTCCGTACAGCAGGAGAAGTTAGCAAAAAACAGACGCCCTTTCACAGGTCCCATCAAGAAACGTTTGGCACGTTTGCGACAAGCAACCTGGCACTGTTGCACTCGCTGTTGAAAGCATTCCCCTTGGGGCACATGTTCCACACCTCAGCGTCACTTTGTTGGACTCTAGTGACGAAAAAGATCTCTGTAGTTCTAGCAATCTTGCTCTATGGTAAATCGGATATCTAACAAATGTGCAACCCTTTATGGCAAAACCTAAAAAAGAAGAACTAAATAAGATGAAGAAAGAATCGAGATAAAAGGGGCCAAAACAAAAAATGTGACTCAAACGAGAAAAAAAGAACGGTTCAAGGCAAAAAAGTGCCGGTGCCAAGCCGACGCGTGCAGTGTGCCCGTGCAAAGCGGTGTGGTCCCAATTGAGCGGAGCGGCTCGAACTAGAGCACCACGACCTGCACCACAAGTCTGTTGAAATGAGATGCTATGACATCATGCATTCAGGTGACACAACTAGCAGGCAGGCAGTTGTAGTAAAGCAGTGGCTTGATGTCCCCTACATTGGCTGAACAGGATAACCACCAGTGCTATGAAAATGATGCTTCACCAGGTGGTTACTGCGAGATGGGAAATGAAAAGAAAAATACTTCATCTGGTTCCGGCTTTGAAACGAACTCAAGTTGTGTGTCTCCTTTCAGTCACATCCACCATGTGGTCACTATGTCTTCTTTGAAAAATCACACTGAAACCGAGAAGGATCGACTTCGACCAAGACTCGCGGGTCACGCGGAGGGGGCTCCGTCGGCATCGACCGCTTCTTTCGGGGGTTGTTTGGCACGCGCGAAACGAGGGCGTCGTTCTCATCCGAAAGGCCTCCCGGTTGAACTCCGCTGGGAGGTGGTGACATGGGCGTTTCGCGGGTCAGCTCAAAGACTGTCCAGTGGTGGCCAATCCATGAATCTTCCTTGGCCACGGAGGCGCGGTCAGAGTGGCCCAAAGAAGCGACAAGAAGAGGATGGGGCGACAAGAAAAACCGGGCTTTGGATTGGAGAGAGCGAAGGAAGTGCCCAGTGGAGTTGTGCAATAGAAGTTGGATACTAGGAAATATATCTATATATATATAGCTAGATATATACACACAACAAAAAGAAATACAGTAAAAGGTTAATACAACACATGACTGACCCTGTCCAGACTCCAAAGCATTCCCTCTTAGACTCCTCCAAACAACCAACCTTCCTGTGACCTTGCTACTTGACGTCCTTCGTCAGAACCCACTTCATCGTTCTCTTCAGTCTCATCCCTTCCAGATCTCCACCAACCATCACCAACCATCACCAACCATCACCAACCATCACCAACC